TGTCTCACTGGTCTGCTGGGGGGACCCCAGCAGACCAGGGAGACGCGGAGCAGCTTTTCTTGCCCCGGAGGATGCGGGCGGCGGGACCGCGGCGCGTCTGGGCGGTCCCGCCGCCTGCGTCCTCCGGGGCGAGAAAAGCCCCGTTCATAAGTACGGATCTGACGTAAGTCGGATCCGCGTAACTCGGGGACTGCCTGTACTGAGATTTGGAAAGGATGTTGTAAGGAAGTTAGGTGCCTAGTTCTCATTGAAATTCCATGGTAGACAAACTTCCAACTTCCTTAGGCTGCTTCAGAAACCCAAGCCTATGTATATAACCAGGGCTTGACAAACCCCGGAGAGATATTTGCCAGCACCGCACCACGCATGCACCAGACTGGCACCGCGCATGCGCACAGCGCCAGTGAATGGGGTTCACGGAGCCCATGGCAAGTAGATTCAGTGGTTTGTCGAGCCTTGTATATAACAGTTTCTTAGCATTTATGTATCCATGTATCTTCATGCAAAATCATAGAATCATAGAATAATAGAATCATAGGGCTGGAAGAGACCTCAGGAGGTCATCAAGTCCAGCCCCCTGCCCAAGGCAGGACCAATCCCAACTAAATCAACCCAGCCAGGGCTCTGTCAATTTGAGACTTAAAAACTTCTAGGGAAGGAGATTCCACCACCTCCTTAGGTAACCCATTCCAGTGCTTCACCACCCTCCTAGTGAAATAGTTTTTCCAACCTAGACCTCTCCCACTGTAACTTGCCTGATTAAGCACCCCATAAGCTTTGTATTTTCCTGAATATTTTTTGGTGAAGTATTTGTAACTCTTCTCTTGCCTTTCCTATATGGGCTCGGCTCTGTACCACCTACTCCTCCCTTCCTTTAAGCTTTCATTGCAACCTAATGGATTTAGCAGCAACTGGAGTCATTGTGGTGATCAATGACTTAGGCTGTTGAACATTTAGTCATTGATCACACTGAACATATTCATCTTTGGCATACCATTGTGAACAGCTGCCTCTACTTAGCCTGCCAGCTTTCTGTCACCTCAAGGATTCAGTGAAGTTCAGAGACAGTGCAAGAAGGTTATATAATTCTGTCAAGAGGTTACTTCTTTGACTTTTTCCAGTTTCAAAGTCCCATACTATTCCTTTGCCTACTGGATAGGTAGTATGTCCATCTGAGAACTGTCAGTCTATAACATATCATAACACAGCATGGCAATATAAAGAGTATGCACATATGTGAGTATACATATGTATCTTCCTTGCCTTAAACAGAATTGCAGGAGCATGAACTTATTTCTTTTTAGGGAAAACATTACATATTACAGAGTGGACATCATAGCTGAGTTTGTGTGTGTGTAAATAGCTGGCATTGTTACATGTATCCTTTGTCTTTTTGTGCATTTAAATATTATGCACCCAATTTGTAAGACTAAAAGGTTACTTTAAAAGCTTGGATGCAAATATTCACAATTTACCGGTTTTACTCAGAAACTCAAGTACATTTCACCAAATCAGCAAAAGGATACTGAGACCTTGAAAATGGCTATCTCAACCAAACATTTTTAGATATCTATAACTGAAAAAGATTGGACAATTTTTCTTTTGTTTCTCTCTATTTTTGCTTCTTTGCTTAGTGCATTATATGACTCTGTATGTAGTAATTCTGAGTGGTTTGAATCTCTCAGTCATCTCTGCAAGAGTGTGTGGACTGTAAACAGGATCAGTAAAGCTGAAACTGAACATAAAGAGGAAATAGACAGGAGTGCACCACAGATGAAAAATCAACCCTATATGCAGGGCAAGTACAAAACCAATGCACTACTTAAGTCCATTTTGAGTGCTTAAATAGGGGTTTAAATGGGACACATATTTCAGACTGACTCTTTCAGGGATGAATTTCATCAAGAAAGAAAGGCTAGAAGTGTCTCTGAGAATGTAGGGGAATGTAGTTCTCAAGTCTCCTTTTATTGATATTTAGAAGGATCTCTTCAGAGCAGAAAAAAACCTAAACCATCTATATATTTAGAAAATCAATGTAATATTCAAAGGATGGGGGAGAGGCTGGGGGGGGGGGGGGGGTTAAAAATGTAGATGGATGGTATCCCTTTTAACATTTTCAAAGATCTATGAACTCTTGTCAAATAATGCAAGGCTATTTCTTTAACATATATCCAATGAGGTGTGTACAACTCCAAAATGGATTAGAATTGCCAGGAAATGGGGTCATGCATATCATCTTCTGTTGTACAAAAAGGAGTGCCAGTGCTTGGAAGCACCGAGTTCAGCAATAATCAAAGTGCATAAATTAAGTGAGTTTGCAAGATAGTTCACCATTTGAAAGTACAAGAACAAGAAAGCAATAAAGGGCCTGATTCTCCATTACACTGTTCCTTGTGCAGTCAGTTACATGAATGAAAAGTGAGTGTAGAATTCTACCAGAGCAGAATGGCAGGCCTTTATAGCTTTTTACTCATTTTGCGCATAAACCAAGATAGTGAAGAACCAGCCATATTTCTGTTAATTCCCTGTGTTACTTAAAACCCTGAAATACTTTAAAAAGCAATTTTTAAACTTTAACATATGTTGCTTACATATATATTTTATTTCTTTGAAGACAGCTTGGACCAGAGAACTAGTGAGTCAGTTTTTATTTTCTGACTTCAGAGGGGTTGCTGAGTTAGTCTGTAACAGGAAAAACTTAAAAAACAACAAATAGTCTGGACTACTTTTTTTTTTCTGAGTATTTGAACTCTTTTATGGTGTAAGATCATCATATGCATTTGAATTCATAAAAGAAAGTTTAAATTAAAAAATCAATTTAATTTAAGTTAATTAAGTTTGATTAAGCCTTTTTGCAACAAAATCTGTCATTTGCATGAAAAATTTGGATCATCAGTGTAAATCAGAACTCGATATCTGAGCAACTGGCATCTCACACAGCTCTTTTATTTACTGCCTAAGAAAATATTCTGTGACATGAAACAAACATTCACTAAGAGTATGTCTACATTACAGAGCCTACACCAGTGCATAACTATGACTGTACAACCCCATAATCAGGGCTTGACAAGCAGCGGCCAGCC